TGTAATCACAGTGAAGCCACAAATAGTGACACATCACCACCACAAGCAGTAAGTGGGAGCCCCATCCCTGGAGACATTCCAGGTCAGGCTGGACGGGGCTCTGAGCAACCTGATCGAGCTGTAGGTCTCCCTGTTCATTGCAGCAGATCTGGGCTAGATGACCTTTAAAGGTCTCTTCCAACTCAAATGATTCTATGATTCTTATTTTCTCATATAGAAGCAATAGCTTATTACTACTCACATGACCCAGACCTTCCTCACTGAGCCTATTACATTCCCAACGCTGTTTCAGGGGGTAAAATAATTTCTTTGAATAGCTTTAAAGAGATAAACCTGAATTATATACTGGAGCTTTTTGGTAATTTAATTGCCATCATTTGTACCTTGGAATACTTGGACCATTTGATAAAGGGAAAAATGGTTGAAGTCTTCCACTTTCACATGAAATTTATTGAAGTGACTTTTGATGAGCTTTAGCAAATACTAAAACAAATGAATTTTTTTTGTCATACTTGGAGTTTTCCCCTTGTTGTTCTTCCATGCAGGCTCAAGCATTCACTGCTTTAGATCAATAAAGAACTTGTTTGCATTAGCTGGGATAACTTTGCAGTGCTGTGAGTGCCTGGCTGTGTGCACAGGTTGCTTGCACTGGAAATGCTGAAGAGAAATTATATCACTTCCATGTGTTAGTTGAAACTAGAGATAACTTCAGTATGTAAAAAAAATACTCCATTTTCTTCCAGGGACTTAGTCCTTAATGGTAGTTACTATAGCTCTGTTAGTCAAATTAATTTTCCAATTATTTCCAATTATTCCTTCAGAAATACTTCGTAAATTTCATCACTTGTGGCTTCATTGCTACATAAGCACAAATTTTCTAGGGCAACTCCTCTCCTCTTCATCCCCAGCAAAGGGTTCAAGCAGAAACGATGAAATGGTTTGAGCATATTTACACATGATGGTGACTCATATCTACTCAATATGGAACGGGCTGTGTCACTCTTGTAAACAACTGAACTGATTACATGCACTGTGTGTGAGTTACTTAGCACCCTTTCAGAGGGCAGTCTCTTTCAGAGCCGACAGCATGAAGGCTGGAGGAGGAGTGCATTATGCAGTACAAAAGGCTATAGGCTTATGTGCCTGTCTTCGGGTTTCTGTGGAGCTGTGCCCAAGCACAGGTGGAGAAAAGGAGGAATAAGTGTGGTTAGCTTCTGAGATCACTTAAGTTCACAGAACGTATTTAGTGCTTAAGTTGCAGCTACTTGACTTAGGGTAAAATTGATAAAATGAATTTTAACATTTCATCTTCTAAGGCCTCTTGAAACGTAGAGGAAAAAATAGTGTTGTAAGGAATCTTTATGCTTTATGCTTTGTAGCATGCGAGCGTGCTACATTTTTTTTCCAGTACTTAACATTAAGGAGAGGGTTTTTTTTTCTTTTTGTGATTTTATGGTTTAAGGAAACAAGTTTCCAGCTTTGTGTTTTCCTAGAAATTCAAATTTACACGCACACATGCGGATGTGCTGCCCATTAGGTGGCATTACCTTTTTCCTGGAAAAGAAGAATTCCTTGGAGAGACATGCAGAAGGAAAATGATTCTGCTTTTCTTTGGAAAGCAACCTCTTGTAATGTGTAAACCCATGTTACCACTTTCTTGAAAAGATTTCTTTTACCTAAAATAAACTTTCTTAAATACCTCTCACCATTTGGGCAGCTTTCAACACATTGTAGGACAGAATTCTTTTCTCTCTTCCAATAACGCTTTGCTCTGTGCTGCAACTTGAACTCTATTTTCACATGTCGTGGGAGCATCTTAAATTCCTTGCCTCTTTATCTTGCTCTCCAAATCCTTGAATCAAAATGAAGAAAAAAGGGTGCCCACATATACATATCTTGCAAATTCATGCATATGATAATTATTTTATAATGACAGTAGGCTGCAAGTGGAGCCTTTGAAATCAGTTCTGTGACAGACAGTACTAGCACGTGCTACAGGCATGCATTTTGCAATAAACTGGTGCAGGGGCAGACCTGTGATATTTTATGATATAAAATAATCTTTTCAGAATGGATTAAAAAAAAGTTTCATTTAGTTGCAAATGAGGTAGGAACTTTTCTAGAGGAAAAAGAAAATAAAAGAGGTAGGTCTTTCTTATAGCAAGCTGTTCTAACTAGCCAGCTGTTAAGAAATGAAATGGGCTGGACAAACCAGGCACGGCTGGTACGTGTGCTGTGGCACGGGTGCTTGGTCTGCCTTCTGCATGTTGAAAAAACTGTTGGCTTTGAGGTGATTCGTGATAAATAGTAATGGATTTTAAATTTTGTCTAGTTAAGTTTTTTGTTGTTGCTGTCTTACTGAATGCAATTTGTGTGTGTTTGCCAAAACCTGAAATGCAGTCAGAGCAACGCTTGTGAATTTGGTGTGTTTCTTGTGAGTAGTCCAAAATAAGCCTGCTAAATGGAAATGCTTTAGAACTTTCTCTGATGGATCTTTGAAATGAAATTTAAATTTATATTAACCCGTATTATGTTCAAAGATAAGGCAAAGAAAAGGCCCAACAAATATGGGCCTGATCCTACAGTCTCGGTTGAATCAAAAGCCATATGATTGGGTTTTGATGCAGTAACAGTTAATGTTGCAGATTCTTGCATGCACCTTGAGCAATTATATGGTTTAAAGTTTATGCAGCAAATTATTAGGTTTGGCAATGACTCTGTCGTCAAGATTAGTTTTACACCAAATTGCTTTCAGATACCAAATGACAGGTTTTGTAATGAAAGGTTGCAATTATTTCTAATTTCTTCAGTGGTAGTCACAAATCACTGATGCTGATTCTGCCATTTGCACGTTGCTTTCTAAAATAATACCCTGGTGTGTCTGCCGTAGTACTCTTTTATTCTGTTCACAAAGTCAAATAAATCATGTAAAGTAACAAGTGTGCAAGAGGAATTTTCAGATAAAATTACTGCTGAATGGACAGAGAGGATGTTTTGCTTTTTGTCAGTATATTTGTTTCACGTTTTTTGTTTTCCATTCCTTGCTGACTACGTATGTTACTTTTCCTCCTCCTGAATGGTTACAGTGAATTTCAAAAAGGGTAATTAAGCGTGAGACTGCGTTGCATGGATGTGATTATTCTGCTCCTCGTTCTGCAGGTAGCATGCTCAGCTCTGGCTCACAGATCTTTGCATTCTGCACTACTCACATAAGCATAAACACTTTCAGTCTTCCCAAGGCTTGAAATTATTCAGTCCACAGAGACTTATCACATTGCCAAGCTCATATAATCTCCTTACCATGATCAGTTTCACACAAGTAACATGATGACTTATCCTCATGCTGTCCTGGCCAATATTAAAGTATTCTTTCCAAATAAAACAGCTTCTAATTGACTAAGCTGTGTGTGAGCTATTGTCCACATGGGTACTACTGCAATTGCAAGTATATAATGGCTGTAATACTGTGAGTATGAAAAACACCACTATGAGTATGAAAAACACCATGTCAAAGAAATGGGTCTCTTTTTGGTCATGTTTCTACACCTTGCTGCAGCAGCACTAATGCAAGTTCCTCATTAATGCTTTTGGCTCTGGTGCAGGTATAACTATGTTGTACCAATGATGTGCAAGCTGGTATTGCCTCTTCTCTTGTGAAGGGAAGTGGATTATAAAACCCAAGGATAGACGTCCTGTCATT